ATTGATTATTTTGATGTGTGCTGTTTGTAGGTCAGGCTCGATAAAAGCCTTGTACATTGGATAAACCTGCATTCAGTTTTATGGCAAAATGAGTTACCTAACAAATTTAAGAATTTTAACATTGCATTGAACAGTTCGGCTAAGGATCATGATACACACCGTTTCAGATATTTGGTGGATAATCTCTTCAGGTTCTTGCCCAGCACGTTGTATATCTCTTATAACTCGTTTTACTAAATCGAAATGAACTCCACCATTCACAGATACTCGAAGATCAAGCAAAGGGCGCAATTTCTCATTCAAAGCATATATGCCCTCCAAAATCACAATTTGGGAACTAGGGACTTCAAGTGTCCTGCAGCACAACAAAGGATATAAATTCAGATCAAAATAGTTTCATATGTCATTTCAAGGAAAGAAGCAAAAATCATTATTCAATATAAAGTCTCTTATCATTAGAGAACCCAAAGAGAGTATCAAATTGGATTTAAAATAACAAAAAACACCTTTCTTGTAGAAAAGGATATCATAAGAAAGCTAAATAATAATTACAATGCTTTAATCCTAAATCCAGTAATAGCTTCTGTAGATTATAAAAGAAAGGAATATAGCAATCATAGCATTAGAAGAAAAGCTTCTGTATAAAATTACAATTAAGGAACTGAACCTGTATCCGACGCGTGAGCTAGATTTGAAATCATATATTGGAACCTCTGCTGGCTTTCCTGCCTTCAAATCATGGATGTTTTTAAGCAACATATCATAGTCCGTTAAGCGAGGATCTGTAAGCCCATAACATCAGATAAAATATAATCATCTAAGTAATAGTTTGAAGAAATTTGTAACTCGGTTTTCAAATCCTAGTTAAGTGTCACAAGGATCAAAGCAACTAAATGATAGATGAAATAATATCAAACTCTTCAGTTAAAGGATCAATGCTTGCCCTCTCAACCACCCCCTCTTCCTTGTCCAAACTCCCAACATCTTACATTGGGGAAATATGTAATAAGAAACTAAGGAATTGCATACAGAAGATCTCCCTTCTAAGAAAATAAGGTTGTAGTCAAGAATCAAGATTTCCAAAGGAATTGAAGTAATAAAAAGAATATGCTAAAAACAGTTCTTACCATCATAGTTTCCATCAACAATCCGACTTGCATCATTGTAATTATCCATGGAAATAACAGCAACACTTGGCATGAAATTCTGTATTTTTTCAGTGAATACTGTCTTTCCAGCACCAGAAGGACCAGCTAGTCCCACTAATACAAGTCCATCATTCTTTTGAGCCAACAACTGGCATGCACGGATTACAATGAAGAACCCTTTCTCAAATGATAAATTATCCGGTATATGGACAATCTCATATCGATCACGATCCTTTCTCTTTACCAATCGAATTTGGTCTTTTAAGAGACCAGGTTTACGGTGAGTTGATTCATTGTCAGTATCCCTTGCCATTGAGAGTTGAAATAATGCTAAAACTCTTCTAAGAAGAGAACAAAGAAGCAGATGTAAGTGGAGAGACAGAATACTAAAGCCTACATAAATGCTGTTTGCTTATTAAATTGAAATGCAGAGGTATCTATATCTCTCCCAAACAGCGGAAAAGCCATAGAAGTAACTTAATTGGAAACATGCTCAATCATCCCAACTAAACGCTATGGAAAGAAGTTCAAAAACCACCCAGTAGCTAAAGAATTACCACAAAATGTATCAGCAGCTTATAAAAAAAACAAGTTCAAATCATTCTAATCTTATGGAAATTACATTCTCAAACAATTTGCAGTTAGAACTGCATTTGCATGAATATAAACCAAAGCTAATCATAACAAAATAATCTAATCATTTTCATCATTCAATACCAATACTAAGGCAAAACAAGATTTTCAAGACTAAATACAAAGTTTCAAAATCACCACAGCAGCATTCCAACATGAAATTCAATCCCATGAACAAAACATGATCACAAAACCAAGATGGAGTCCAGTGGCAGATTACAGGTTCAATCTCCATTCCCTCATATGTATCAGAAAGAAACTACCCATGTAAAATAATCAGCTGAAAATCATTCTCAAGCTATCAATAACCACCGAGAAGAGCAAAAACAACCGCTCTTGAAACTCCATTGGGATCTAAAGACGAAATGTAAGCAACAGACCACCGCAAAAGAAATTAAAATTAAAATGTAAACTGACCAAATAATTGAATGAGGGAAAAAAAAAAAAAAAAAAACAAACAAACAAATCATCAAGAAACGCAGAACTCAGAAGAGGATATTTAGATCAAAATGAAATATCTGAATGAAATCTAATGCAGAAAATGAACACACTGACCTGTAGTGGGATTGAGCATTGAAGAGCGTCGAAGCTTTTGCGGTTTTATATCACAGAAAGAGGTGCTCCAGAACTAGGAGTGTAGTTTATATAGGTTTCTTTATTTTATTTTTTTTTCAAAAAAAAATATTATTTCTTCTCGTGGACCGTGAAATTTATTGGTAATTATTAATTATTTGTACTTTGAGGTGTGTAAAATAATATAATAATAGTAAATTAATAATATTAATAATAATTTCTCCAGAAATAAAGGAGAATCACTCTACAGGGCAAGCATGTTTTGGAAAGTGGAATGCTATACTGGGAAAATATTTCACCTTCTAAAATTCCTTTTTATTAGTGTAAATTAACATTTTAAAAATGTTTCTATATAAAATTTTATTGATATTGTATCTTTTCAATGCATTATATAAAATTAAAAAAATGATCTTATAATAATTTAAATAAAATGATTGGAATATATTTTGTTGTGTGTTGATCACTTCACTTACAGGGCGTTTGGTTGGAGAGGGGGGGGGGGGGAATTATGTGGGAAAGGAATTGTAATTCCATGGGAGTTGAATTATTGGGAATAAAGTGGAAATTTAAATTCCAGTGTTTGGTTGACAGGAATAGAATTACTGGGAATTTCAATTCCAATGTTTGGTATACATGGGAATTTAAAGGGAATAAGTAGTATAAAATCAAAAATGTCCATTATTGTTGTTAGACATTAATTTTAGGTTAAAAAAGAAAGGGATAATTTTGACACATCACTATCTTTTTTTCCCAGGAATTAAAATACCAGGGGGCGACATGGGATTTTAATTCCATGAAAATGGGGGGTGGGGGGGGGGGGGGATTGCAATTCCATAGAATTGCAATTCTCTCCAACCAAACTACGAAATTTAATGGCCTTTGGAATTAGGTGGGAAGGGAATTTAAAATCCCTCTAACCAAACGCCTTGTTATGTGTTCAAGGGGATCAATGATTGATTTAGACAATTATAAAGTTAGTAGTGAAAAAATTTACTTTATATATCGATAATTCATTAGCAAGTCTTGATCATGTGACTATGTGAGTTTCACCTATAATACTTTGATAAGGACGGACTTTGTCTTTTTGCGGGCTCATGCTCTTTTGTTGTGTATAGGGCATTTCTTTAATAGCAAATACCAATTTTGGTCCCACGAGTATTAGCAAAATGACGATTTTGGTTCACATGTTTAATTCCTACCAATTTTCATCCACGACTATTGTTTTAGTACTAATTTTAATCCACAACTATTATTTTAGTACCAAAATTAATCACGTCAGTCACCCATCTATTTAAAACATCCCGAAATCTAAAAATTTTAAAGGCATTTTCGTCCTCTTCAACTTAAGATTTCAATTTGAGCATAAATAATTTAAGTCCTAAGATCGATCCCAATTCACAGTTCTCCTCCTCATCCTACCTTAATTTGAGGAGGAAAACTGCGAATTAAGATAGATTTTAGGGCTTAAATCCCTTTATTAATGTTCAAATGGGGATCCTAATTTGAGAAGCACGAAACTACCCTTAATAATTTTATATTTGGGCATGTTTTAAACGAAGGGGTGACCGGCATGATGAAAATTGGTACTAAAACAATAGTCGTGGGTGAAAATTGGTATTAAAACAATAGTAGTGGATGAAAATTGGTAAAAATTAAACATGTGGTTCAAAACTGTCATTTTGCTAATACTCGTGAGACCAAAATTGGTATTTGCTCATTTCTTTAAGGTCCAATTGAAATGACGTATCAATATGACACTTGACTATGTTTTTTTATATTATTATAGAAAATAACAAGGATACACTTTTTTTTTAAGAAAAGAATGGCGCAGCCCCAAACAGAAAAGCAAACCAACTAATCTCCCCGAGAATATGGAATCTCAGCTTGATCCTGTTGAAGCCACTCCTCAAATTCTCCCAACGGTCCTTGATGGAATAATCGCGGAGCGGGTCCGAGCAAAGCAATACGGAGCGGGTCAGGCCCAGCATCAACGAGTTACCCGCGATGCGTGGCGAACCACCCCGGGGTCGGCCCAGCATGGGGCCGGCTCACAATCGAGCAGGCCCCCATGGGCTCGGCCGAGTCCATGACCGGCCCTTTGGTCGAGCCCCGTGCTTGCCCAAGGGGTCGGGTCCTCGCGTGGAGCGAGTTCCGCGTACTCCGGACCAGTAGCAACCGGGGAGTATAAAAACACTCCCCGGTGTCCTATTCAAGCATCTTCTACCTTCTTACTATAGTGGTCTTTTTATTACACGTCATGAATCTCTGTAATAGCATTATACACTCATCAATACAATATTCGTACGTTATTTCTACTCTATTATCGTTTTATTATTCATTTATTATCTCCAATCATATATTCGGGTTGTATAATCCGAACCCCCAGGTTCATATAATCCATCAGTCCTCAAACTCTCCCGACAAGCAGAATAGAAACAACATCAGATCTCATTCATTGCCACACTTTTTGGCAAGCCAATCAGCAACAAAATTTTGTTCGCGAAGAACGTGGCAGCATTTCACTAACCAGTTCTTTTGTTAAAAAAAGAATCAATTGAGTCAAATTTAACTCACTTTAGACACTTTTATAATTTATATGCAACTCATTTTAATTTGAATACAACGTTTGAAGTTCAAATGAACAAATTTAGTACTCATCATGATCATTGTTCATTCAAAGAAAATAAACCCTCTGATTTTCAGTTCATGAACCTAAGTCCATTTGTTCCATTTCATTCCCAATAACAACAGAAACAACAATTCTCCATGCAGCCCACATGGCTGTTGGCACCAAGCTTCAGTCATGTCTGTGATACAGTCAGTCCTTGCAAAAATAATAGAATTTGCAAAAAGACCCAATTTTGGTCAACTTAAAATGACTGAATTTCTAATGTTAAACCAACAATCTGTTCACCTGCAATGTGAACAGAATAATCTCTTGCATCCTGTGTTTGTATTTCTCGACTTAACCATCATGCTCGTGTAAACCACGATTGTGTTTCTCGCTGCAAAGAAAGAAGAGAAGGTTTTGAGTTCAAATAAACCTGCCAGATTTACCTAGGATCCGAGAATTCATGGAATTGATCTTAATCTTATATGCTTGTTCGATAGAACCCTATTTAATTAGATTATATTATTCGATATAGATGAAGTAATCAGCAGTTTTTGCATGTTTGGCAAAGAATATGGACCATAGATTGTGCCAACACTTTTTTAGCTTATTCAAGAGTGATCCAACAAAACCATGAGAATATATTCAGTACCTTCACATCAATGAGGGGAAAAAAAACTTCTGGAACGATTAATCTTCGTGTTCATTTTCATCCTCGGAATCTGTACAAGGAACAAAATTACTCAGCCACACAATACAAAACTGCTCTTTTATCATAGAAAACATCTACTAAAAAAGAACACTACAATCAAACATTTACGGGAAATTCACTCATTTGAATCATTTCATGAAACTAAAAAGGATGCCAAATATTTCCATACTAAATATGGGAAAGTCTGGTAAATTAAAGAAAGGAACCAAATACCTATTCCTATCATTCTTATCAAAAAGCATCATGGATTTCTCAAGAAAGATCATCATAAATATTGCTTAGTGCGGTTCCAACTACTTGTTGAAATGTATGGCATAAATTGTTAAATGTGGAAAGTTAGAAACATTTTATAAAACCCCTTTTTTGCCTTACCAGATCGAACATCATCACTGACTTGGCCCCTTGATTGGATTTGTTTAACAAGCATCCTATACATCAGCACCCACCAATATATATGCATAACGAGCAAGCAAAATAGAAGAGAATTGAAGATGTAGTAAATTATTGGTCCTTCCACTTTGTGTTTCTCCTTATCCAAAGTCCGTACAACTTCATAGCTGCATTTAAATAAGTTAGATGAGTAATAGTATTTCACTATTTTGACAACCCTAAAGTTGAAAAAAAAAATTAAAATTAACGAACCACATCTGAACCAACTTTCAATCAACTAGGGCAAAGAAGGTAAAAGGGAACAACCATGACTCACCTTGTACTCCATAAAACCCAAAAAGGAAAGTATATAAGGCGAAGAAGGACCCAAGATAAAACGAAAAGAATGAATGCAATGCTGGCAACAGTTTCAGCACCACTGTATTTCGACATTTTCCCAATTTCCAAAAATATGTCACTAGCATCATGGACGGCTAAAACAACAGAGCCAACACGTGCAAACCTGCACACAGCAGAAACAATAATAGAATTGGATTGAAAGTAAAGTGATTTACTCAAAGAAAACATGATGAAATCTAATAGTTTTTTTTCAATCAAAACCCATCGACCATTTTCCTTCTCTTGTAAGTTGCTAACTTTCCCAAATGGCCCATTTCCTATATTATTGTGTACAAACACAAAAAAGCAAATAGTGCTCTTAAGCAGCATATGCCTCATTTGGCAGAGGAAAACCTTGATAATTACTGATTTTTGAGAAAAACTTGTACAGATGTTGGCTATTTAAATGGAATCTACTAAATTTCTTTAGAGAATTGTGGCCATTTTCTGGTTTTGTTTGTCCTCAAATGTGCATGGTTCACAATGTAAGTGCATGAGTATCCTTTCCCGGGGATTTTTCCTTTATTTCTAATTAGTCATAATGCCCTTTTAGATATTTTTACTAGTGCTTTAAAAATGCTACAAATTAGCATAAAATTTCAACCAATGTATTGAAAACTGTCTTTACAACAATGCAAAATCTCAGCTCTACTAAAACACACCTGAATATATAGGACAAGACAATGAGACTAGCAGTAGCAAAATGGTGGCTCATTGAAACCCCGAAGTCAGAGCGCCTTGTTTCCCAAAATATTAGAGCAAATATGGAATACGTGTAGAACCCACCAGAATACATATAAAGAGCCTTCAATTTTGCCCTACATTTCAAAAGCAATTGCTCATTTCATTAGACTATGAAATGAAAATGACACAGATAACTTGAGGACTTGGGACAAAGTCTAGCTTTGTGAATGAAATGATCATTAGTAGCTCATGCTTTGAAAAAACATAACATGCTCACTCATCGTTTCCTCAACAAAAAAGAAAACCAAAGAAACCTAAAAGAAGAACTTTAAAGGAATGAAAGAAAGCACATGTATACCAAAGAAGAACAATAAATTAGGAATTACAGAAAACTCTTACTTGCATTTCTGGTCAGGCCAGACCTGATCCCCAGGCCCTACCCAGAAATATTTTGTTTTGGTGAACCAAGGCTCATTGTAGGTAACAGCAAGTGCGAAAATTTCAGCTGAAATAAAATAAACATATTTCCATGCTGATTCCTTGAACTTCTGTATCTTTTTTCTTCGTTCTTCGGTTTCATTTTCCACCACCCGCTGTCCCTTTGCAAACATTAACCACCTGGCCAGATTCTGCAACATGTAAATCCAACTAAAACTTAGCATGATCATTAAACAAGGGTAGGGCAAAGATTCTAGAGGAAGTTCAAAAGGAAGCTGTGGTAGAAGTTTCATCTATTTGTTGAGTTATTGGATGGCATTCCTAGACATTGAAATTCACCCTCTCTCTCACAAGCACCTTGGCTTTTCATCCAAAAATTCAACTTCAACTTATTTGCCACAAGGAAATAGAATCACGACAGAATGACACAAATGCACAGGGTATAAACTATGTTCCCATTGCTATCCTAATCAGTTTTACTTGTGATTCACATACAAAGTCTACACCTAAATGGTCAAATCTAAACTTGAAGTCAGCTGGTAAACTCATTTTCAACTTCTAATCCCAAAACAGCTTGCTTAATAATCTGCCATGGGACCAATGTGCATAAAGCATACTGAACCAAATATGATTTTACACAAATCAAGACACAAAACAAAAAGCTAATAAGCAGAGTCATTACTTTAAAACAAATCAAAATCAAGAATTGATAACATCTTGCTTGCTAAACTTCACAGATTTTAGGCAAAACAGAATCTATAATCAAGTAAATCAAAACAAGTGAACACAGAAAACTCAAACACTAAAAAGAACTCTACCTCAAATACGAATCTATCAAGCAAGAATCTGATAGCGGGGAAGAACAGCACGAACAGCGGAAGCACTGCCAAATCTCTGTAGCTTGGATACGATTCTTGCTCCCAATCAATGGAACCCACAATTTCGAGAATACCCATTTGCCCAAAAGAAGTTTGTACGTTCTGAACTGTGTATCAGAGGTTTTGGTCAATCATGGGGACTTTAAAGTTACCGTTTGCCTCGAAGGTCGAAGCCTCAAACGACCTGAAACTGAAAAGTCCTTCCAGAATTCAGAGTGGGTTGGATCCAGTAAGAGAGGGTCCACAATAATTATTTGGTTCAGGTGTAGTGGCAATTTTACCCTTTGACTTTTAGTCCAGAAATCGAGAACACCTTATTTTTTATTTTATCAAAACCAGAACACTTTATCTTAATATTAAAAATTTTAAACTTTTGGAATACTATTGCCCCTATTACAAACTTATTTCAATCCAACTTAAATTATTTGAGTTTGAGTTGAATGAGTTTTACTTTCTACACAGAATTGTATCTCCTAATATATAATGGTCCTATTTGGTAAATGAGTTAGAGGGTATGACTAGTTGATAATATGAGTTGATTGTATAAATGTGTTTGGTAAATTAGCTGATAGCTGTTTCTATAATTTCTTTTGTCAAAAAGTCAATTAAAATGTTATTTTGAACAATTTTTTGAATTTTAGCATTTTAGAGTTACAAAAAGCTTATTAATGAAACACTTATATTGATTTTTTAATGAAGTCAAATAGTTAATAGTGGTCAAATAAGTCAAAATTAACTGATATAAATACAATTATACTAGCTACTCAAACTAAGAGCCTCATTATTTGTGGTTTTTGGAGAGGTTTTGCAGCCTTTTGCCCATGTGAAAGAGAGAGAAGGTTGGTGTTGCTCTGCAAGAACTTAATTTTTGTGGGTCCCGTAAGAGAGAGAAATGTTAGAATAGAGTTGTAGTTGGGCGCGTTTTTTGCACATCGAGCACCCAGAGTTCAAGCGCTTGAACTACTTTGCTTTTCCCTTTTCTTTTCGTTTCGTTCTTTTTTCTTCTCCTCTTTCACTTTTCTTTCTTACATGGTATGTAAAAATCAATGTTAAAATTCAAACTAACGAGGATGCTTTATGTGAGAAGTTTTAAGGTTTTTTTTTTTGTTGTTTGTAATATTATATTTATATAAAATGTATGGTTAAGTTTACGAGCTATTCAAACAGAGTATTAAGATACTTGAATTTAACTTGATGTGTTATTCAAACTATTTTTTTTTTAATCATAAGGGAAGGGGATACCCGAACTACTAAACGTTTACACTGAGGCTCAAACTTGTTACCTCCTACTTAAGGGAGCAATTGAATACTATTGGACCACAAGGTCCTTGGTTTTATTTGAACTTGAACTCGACTTGATAGTAAATGAATCAAATTATAATGTTTGTCGAATTGAGTTTGAATAATTTTAATAAAATTAAGGTATGCTCGAATATTATGTTAATCTAAATAATGAATAATCAATGCAAAGAATACAATTTCTATTTAAGTAGGACACACCATAATAATAAATTAATAATGCAATTTCTATTTAAGTAGGATACAACATATTGGCGAGTTCACCTTGGTAAGACAGCTTCATTTACAATAGAATTTCGTCACCTCTTTTTATTTGTTTATTTATCCTATCATTGATTAACAACCGCAACAAAGAAGATGAAGGAAACTCCAAAATTTGCAAACTCCGATTGTGATGTAAGGACATACTTGTTAAAAATTCAGTTACTTTACTATCAAATTTTTAAGAAGAAAGAATCATATCACTCATACTAGTCACAAACTTATAATGTTCATATTACGATATGTTTAACATAATAAGTTAAATATTTAAAAGGGAGTCAATAATCAATATCAGTTAATTTTGGCTTATTTGACCACTATTAGCTATTTGACTTGGTCAAAAAATTATATAAGTATTTGATTAATAAGCTTTTTGTAACTCTAAAATGCTAAAATTCAAATTCAAAAATCTGTTTAAAACAACTTTTTCAATTAGCTTTTTGACAAAATAAATTATACCAAACAACTATCAGTTAATTTATCAAACACATTTTTATAATCAGCTAATATTATCAACTAGTCATACCTTCTAACACAATCAGCTAACAGCTAACAACCATTTACAAAACAGGACCATTATATATTATAAAAAGATTATTATATAATATTAAATTTTGTTATAATATTTGATTATAAAATGTTTATTATTAGGAGATACAATTAGTTGTGTAGAAAATAAAACTCATTCGACTCAAACTCAAATATGAGTTGGATTGAAATAAGTTTAAAATTTTGAGTATTAAGACAAGGTATTCTCAATTTATGGGCTAAAAGTGAAGGGTAACTATATGTATGCAGAAAGCAAGCAATGGACTCCATTAGGATTCGAATCCTGGGAGAATCACAATTATACCGCTTGACCACAATGCAAAAGATATAGCAAGTATATGTAGACAGAAAGCAAGCAATAATGGACCTCACTACTCTAGTCTAGTCTAAAAGAACAAAATGCCAAAGGGGAGAAAGTGAAGTGGGGTTGAGTACAAGTAAATTTAGCTGCTAATTAATTTTGTAAGTATGTTTCACAAAAAGTCTTTACGGGTTTAGCTAAGTGATTTAATAAGCAGTATTTAATTTGAGAGAAGAAATATGTTTTACGATTAAATTCAATTATTGTGAGTCAGGTTAAAATTTTTCTCTAAAATAGTGAATTTTATTGTCTTGTCAAGATTATACGTTTGATCCTATAACATTAATATAATAATCTTTTCGGTTTGTAGAAATTATGAGTGAAATTAAAATTTCATGGAAAAAAGAATAAATGGAAAATTCATATTCTTGTTTGGTTGATGAGAAAGAAAAATAAAAAAAAAACTGCTAAAATTTTGAATATATCTAATAAGGTACCTAAATTAAAGGAATTTATTTTTCTCTATAAATGAAACTCTAGAGAGAAAAAAACATTTACACTAATCAAAGAAATTATTGAGGAAAAAAAATTATATTCCTAGAAACCAAACAAGTTATATTCACTCATTACCCAAAAGAAGTTAGGTTTGATCCCTATTGTTAGACTAGCTATTTCGTGCCAATTTGAATGGTCCCCTTCTAGGTCCTTATTGGCGGCAACTGAAAAATCCAAACTTATAACGTACACTAAACAAACTGCTAATACAATCATAGCATTAAAAAATCTTGTATGTGTGTTATATTGAAGAATTATGTGTTAAATCTTTTTCGAGTTAAGTCAGCAGATTTTGCTGACACAAATTGCATTTTCAACCTGAATTGAATTTGATCGACTTAATTAGTTACAATGCCATGAAACTATTAATTAAAGTTGATTGTACTTAAATTATGAGCATTTAATTACTTCGGCCTGACAGTAAAAAATTAAATCAAATCTACCTCAACAATATAATAAATATGAGATCATATGGTGCATGAGAAAGTCTGATCGATAGTGCACTTTTTTTTTTTTTTTTTTTTTTGGTGTTAAACCAAGGATCTACTATAGGACACACTCAAATCTGTCTCAATAATTAATATGGGATCATTGCAATGTCTCTAAAGGAAACAGTAATTGATAGTAGTTTATTACTTTATCATGATGATTAGTATCAGAGCATGTCACAATTTAAATCCTAAACATTTAGATCTCACAATTAGTATCAGAGCATGCTATGTAGATAGTAATTGTTTTAAACTATATATGTGTGGTATCTTGAATGTGCACTCTCTCAAAAGACACAAATCCGTTATCTGCATATCTTCTAATCCGGCCAAAATCTCTTTTTGACCATTTAATACCCTATTAGAGCATACATGTCTCCTCTCCACTCGATTCCTCTATGTACTACAACTCCTCTGGGGCTGAGCCCATGAATCTGTTCTTATCTGTTCTCCGATTGAACTTCGCAATTGTGATTTAGTTATTAATAGTTTTTTTTTTTTTAAACTTTCAGTTCTCTGTCTGCAGCCCCAATTCTTGCTTTTTACCGATGGTTAATGACTTTCCGGTGCCGCTGCTGCCATAAGATCCAAATGTATGTTAAGTTATTAATAGTTTTTCTAATTAATTTGCTTCAAATCTCTCCCTAATCGCAATTATAATTTTTCAATTTTTGTGTCGTAAGGAGGTTGCCCCTTTGATTAACAGCAATTTATGCCCGCCCTACGGACCAGGATGTGAGGCACCGAAATATGGTAATTTTTTTTATCTAAATTTTTATACCTCAGTAAAAGTAAATACTTTTTTTTTTCCTTACATTTTATCTAGAAGCAAAAGAATTACTTAAATTTATATTTTGAAAATTTATTTCTCTAATTTGTAGATATATTCTCTAAAACACTATTTAACTTGCCATTTTGATTGCGTATTCTTTTTGTATTGCCATATGTATAGAGTATGTATTTTGTTGTGTGTGCGTGTGTCGCTAGTCATCATAATACATACGGCTGATTTCTGTGTTAATTGATAATTCCAGGTGGTGCTCTTGGCTGGACTTGGGAAGTTGCCCTTTGTTTTTCAAATTACATGTAGTGCACTAAGAATTTCTACTTCAACTTCAATTTTAACTTGTTGCCCTTTGTTTTTCAAATAACATGTATTGCACTAATTTCTATAGTTTGAATCCTTGCTCTCTTGATTTGTGTTGATTAGCTATGAATAACTTAAACTTGTTTACTTTTTTTGTACCTTTTTGTTGTCTAAGGCCACAAAGTGGAGTTTACCTACACTTGAAAGGATTGTGGAGTTTCCCTCGTCATCCAAAAGAACAAGGTCTAGCCAATTGTTGTTCTTTTGTTCTTGCTTAATTGTAACTCTACCTTTAAATCTCATCATTTAATTATATAACTGCATGCATGTTATGATCGTTCAAGCTTTTCCTCCCTAGCCTGCAAGTATGTCATGGATTGGGTTACTTCGGAGCGTCCCGTACTATCCTATATATCCATTGACAGGGCTAATTATATAACTGCATGTATGTTATGACAGCTTTTCCTCCCTGCAAGTATGTCCGGGTGGATCCTCTGTCAAATTTGATCTTCAGCCAAATTAAATATCATCCTCACTGACCATTGATCTTGTGATCTAGTGACATGAAGTGACTCTTCTAACAAAGCAGCGAAAGGAATGACATTCCATTTCATACAACTTGGCCTAGAAATGACAACATCTCTAATTAGTAAGAGAGCCGTCGTTTAGCAAACAAAAATCTTATGTTACCAAAAAATCTAGCTAATTCCTTAATGTCATTAATGTTACAAAAATCGCTGCAATGTCTCTAAAGGAAACAGTAATTGGTATCAGAGTAGTTTATTACTTCATCATGATGATTGGTATCAGAGCATGCCACAATTTAAATCCTAAACATTTAGATCTCACAATTAGTATCAGAGCATGCTATGTAGATATTAATTGTTTTAAACTATATATGTGTGGTATCTTGAATGTGCACTTTCTCAAAAGACACAAATTCGTTATCTGCATATCTTCTAATCTGGCCAAAATCTCTTTTTCACCATTTAATACCCTATCAGAGCATACATGTCTCCTCTCCACTCGATTCCTCTATGTACTACAACTCCTCTGGGGCTGAGCCCATGAATCTGTTCTTATCTGTTCTCTGATTGAACTTCACAATTGTGATTTAGTTATTAATAGTTTTTTTCTTAAAAAAAAAACTTTCAGTTCTCTGTGATTTCATTCTGCTTTTAATTTGGTTCAAATCTCTCCCTCAATAATCGTAATTATAAATTTTCAATTTTTGTCGTCTTAAAGTTCTCCCCGAACTTAGCTGCCAATATGAAAAATTCATTGACATTATCAAATCCGAGGAACCTGGTGAGTACTAAGTTATTGTTGAAATATGTAATTTGACTCTTGATCATTATTAGAAAAGTCATAGTATGAATATATAGTTCTTCCTCCCAAACGCTCTGTCGGGTAGGATTGTGGGGCCCTTAGGGTTGGGGTTCAGTCTTTTGGAAGAATGAATATATAGTTCTTTTTTTAATTCTGTCTTTTTTTTTTTTTGTTTTTTTTTTGTTTTTGTTTTTGTTTTTTTTTTTTTTTGTTTTGTTTTTTTTTTTTTTTGGGTTTCTGCTTTGATTTTATATTTAGTATTTACTAATTACTTTGTCCTTTTAGTTAGAAAATTTTTATGAGTTTGAGAGCGTGCATGAAGTGTTTGTTACACTGTAATGGTATATGTAGTCTTGCTTTGCTACCATCATCAACCTATTTTGTTTTTAAAGTAAACCGTTACAATTTATACACAAAAGTATTAGAGGTGTTTAATTTGGATCCCTGCTAGATACTTTATCTTTATTTTGCATTTATTATCTATATCAATAAATCAATTTTTATTGATTAATTTTACTATTCTACGCTATCCAAAGGATCTATGTAATTAGTGTACATGCATCTATGTTCTTGTAGTTACATTAATAATTTTTTATCAATTGTTTAACATATAAGTTAAAGAGATTGTTTAAAAACTAAAGAAGTTAAAAGAGATTGAACACCTCAATATAAATGACTTATTTGGAATATATTAAAGGCTTAGTAACTAAAAGTAACTCTTTATGTTTTAGTAGTTTGAGAAAGTATTTTGCCACGTAAATTTCTTTTCTCGACCGTTGATTCAGCAAGAAACATGGTTGCAGTAGGCGCTAGGCACTAGTCGAGCGGTGAAGTAGCGCCTATCGCCTAGACAGCCTAGGCGGGCGCCTATGCGGTTAACTAAAATAAATAGTGCACGTCAGTAGTGCTAATATATATATATATATATATATATATATATATATATATATATATATATATATATATATATATACACATGCTATTGGTCGATTTTACAGTAATACTTTTAGTATATTAAAAATGTACATTCTATTTGATGGATATCTAGTGTGGACACCCCGTGATTACCACTACCTAGCAAGAGTCGCATGGCACTCAGACTTGATAGTCAGCACTCGAAACATGACCCGTCAGTATTGGCCCGCTCCCAAATTATCCTTCCATAACCTCTATTTATTATCCATATTACCCATTACTATAATAAGCTATTATACCACCATGTATTTTACCCATTTTCCTCCTATAAAAATGTCTGAGAACAAAAAAGAAAGGGGAGACAACTCCATCTCTCTGGAGAATAGCAATACAACATGTTCAAAAATTATCAACAAAATAGTAAATTTTCAACTTGACACCGCCGAAAAAGGCCCGTGATTTTTAACTTTTGATTTTTACGTTAAAATTAATGTGTCTTTCTTATTTTTCCTCTTCATTATTTATTTTTGTTGATTCAATCCGTTATGTTAGTCTGCCAAGAGTAACTACCCTCGGGTCATGAAACTAATAGTATTCATGGTCCACATAAAAATTTGTCATCATCTTTATCATCCTTCCATTCATGTTTGTGTTGACACACATCTTCCCTTGCTCGAGCTTGCTATATAAGATTTTTTATTTATTTATTTATTTATTTTTATTTTCTTTTACATTTCCCCTTCTAGAGCGCACATATATTTTTTTTTTCTAAAAAAATAAAATTTAGTAATTGAAATTGAACTTGAACTTGTGATTAATTATTTAAAAGTCATAAAACATATATATATATATATATATATATATATATATATATACATCACTTGACTATCTACAAACTTTTTGGCACATGTGCAGACTTATATATGTTATAACTATGACTGCGTGATATATTAAAAACATTCATTATATTAATTTGTAAACTGATTTTGCGACTTCCGATTTATTTTTGTATTGACTCTAGAAGTGGTGTTTTATAGGCATAGGATTAATCCGACAAAAATTTGAATCACCAATGTATAGAAATATATTATTATTATTATTATTAATGGTCCACCACTAAACATGTCACTTTCATAACTTCTATCAACTTATTGCTTCATAGGAACTGCAGAATTATGCGGCGAAGTGATGACTACTTGGATTATTTTGGTCTATCTGTTGAAACATTATTGGCTTTTTGAGGGGACAAAGATGAGAGGATTAGGTATTTGTGGAATAAATTTTAAAATGTATGATGAATTGAACTAAAATGTTACTCCGTACGTAGTATATATTTGATATTCAAGTATCCTTTTTGTCTCACTTGTTTAATATATTAGAGAATAAAATTTATAAAAAAAAAAAAAAAAAAAAAAAAAAAAAAAAAAAAAAGAGTAGTGGTAATACTTTTTGCGCGAGTACAATCAGAAATGATTTAAGATGTGCATTATTATTGTTAACTCTTATTCTTACAAAATATATGATATAACTTAAAAGTATGTATACTTGTATATATCCAAGAAAATTAATATGTCACTCTTAGCTCGCACAAATAGTTTAGTTACGTTGGTTTTTGAGTGACAGATTGTGTGCATGGTCCTCCAATATAATGAATGGTTAAGTCATCATGATTTATCGCATGGATCAACAAATCTTGTTGGACAAGAGTTCTGATTTTGGAAACTTGTAATTACCAATCTAATAATTAACTTAATCATTTTGGATGAGGTAAAATGAGAATTTTTTTAATTTTTTTTTTGTGCTATTGACCCTGTTACATATAGTATTTTTCACTATTGGAAATTATGGAATTTTCGACCACCTCAAAGTGTCAAGTTAAAACTAAAAAGTGGTCGGAAATAGCAACAAAGGTTTGTCTGAATACTAAAAGTGGGGAACAAGGCTTTCAACTTGATTTAAGATCACTATAAGGTGGTCGGAAATTTCATAATTTCCAAGCCGTTTGGCATAAGAAAATATAGAAAGTAAAATTTAAAAATTATAAGAAAGCACTAAGATGGAAGGAGTTGATTTGATTGGAAAACCAGACAGGGTAAAATTAGAGAATAATGAGAACATAAAAACTTGGAAAAGACTGATATATAGATGAGATGAGAGAAAGCAATAACTTGAAAACTTATGTAACTGGTCTTCTACTGCTGATAGATGGATGATTCAGCGTTGGAATGAGCATTTGATATCTTCCAGATCTCTCAAATCACTGAAAGGGTCATCGGCGCCGCCGTCTCGGAGCTCAACGACCAGTCGCCGGAGGCCGGACGCTTCTTCCTTGAGGCGCGCATTCTCCAGCAGGACCTTATCGTGATGCTCCGACATCTGGTTCAGCCTGTCGAGCAGATTACAATTCTCCGTTCTGAAAGCAAGAACCTGGGACCAAAGCTCATCCAGGTGCCGCTTCTTCCGCATCCTGGATCTCCGGGCGGATTCCCGGTTCGACACCATCCGACGTTGCTTTCTCTCGTCGATGATCCGATGCTGCTGTTCCTCGGATTCATCGGAGGTTGAGTTGTTGCTGATGCTTGCGGATAGAGAGAAATCTGGAGGGGTTATTATTGGAAGAGCGTTTTGGTGATGATTATTATTGATGTTCAAGAATCTGGTGAAGTCTATGGCCGGTGATGAGGAGTTGAAGGTGAAATCAAGAGGGGGAAGAGTGAAGAGACTCTCTGCGGAAAAATAGTTGATTCCTGTGTTCTCTACTGATGGAATCATGTTGATGAAACTATAATGAAGGTGATGAATATAATGGTGGTATATATGATATATATGATATTCTTGGTAGATTGTTTGCAGATGGCTGGGGTTGAGAAGGTAGCTAGGGGAGCTTCTATGGAGGGGTGAGAGGGTTTTATAGGGAGAAGAAGGCTGAGAGAGAGAGAGAGAGATTTAGCTAATAGTGGTGGCTGGCAAATTTTAGTGTAGACCATGATACATGTAGCAGTGTGGTTTATGAAATAACACGACTGGAAATTATAGAATTTCTAACCACCTGAAAGTGATCTTAACTCAAGTCGAAAGCAAAAGGTGGTCGAAAATAACAATAAAGGTTTTTGCTAAAAGTGGTCGGAACAAGACTTTCAACTTAATTTAAGATCACTTCAGATGGTTGTAAATTTCATTAGTGTAAGTATCATTTTATGTGTGTAAGTATACATTGAATCATGCAAGATAAGCATCAATAATGGCATCATATCATCCATGCATGCAGTGGAGAATGAAAAGATGAGTTAAATCGAAGTCTCGATCACTAAATATGATGGGAACTGTGGAGGAAATTAAACATTTGTGGAGAACAAAGATCCAAATGGACCTCCAAAGTATCATGTAATGTGATGACATATCAGTTATCATTGTAAATAGGTAATAATCATATATTTGAACTCGAATAATGACTTAGATTTTTTGGATTGAAAATGTTTAAGAAAGTAGGGAAGATATACTTCAGATCATTGGCATGCATTAATTTTCAGAATTCTACTTGTATTGAAATCTGCCATTAAGATAATAGTCTGATTGATGACGAAATCTGGATTTATTTAAAGCAGTAAACTTTTATGATTATTTTAAGCGGTGATGACTCATAGAGCACTACAAATAGTGATACAATGGACCCATGAAAATTGCAGTTTAATTACCTATAAAATTTATACTATAGAATTGCATGCTCATCTTCTTCTTGGCCAATCACTTTATAATTCTTTTTTTTTTTTAAACAGAAATAGAAAATAATCCAAAATGAAAAATTTATCACGGATGATCAAAGACGTCTGGACCTAATTTTCTAGTATGGTCATTGTTTATTTGTTCCTCAATTTTTAATTATAAATTTGTGGCTTAAATGTCTTCAAATGTCAAAAGAATCAATGAAGAGATTAATATATTGCAGTCTTCTGTCCGTTTCTTCCGTACCTTTAATTTGTTTTAGATGTGATGATAATGTGATTTGTTTATTTAATAACATTTTAATTCATCATAATATTGTTTTTTTTTTAAAATGCTACTGACTCTATTACAATGTAATATCTGTGTCACACACACTGAAGCTCAAACTCACAACCTCCCATATGAGAGTCCAACCCGGGTGTCATCTGTGCACAAGGTACTTGGCTCATAATTATTGTTTAATTTGCCTATCAAGTTATATATTTTCATATTTTGATTTAATTTAAACGAATTGAATTTTACGTCATCAGAGAGTAAAAAATAAATCAAAGATAGATTTATCGAGATGAGATTTGTTTAACAATGAATTATACACAATTTAACACATTTAACCTTTTTTCACCGAAATATATTGTATTATTCATTTTACAATATTTAAACCTTTAACTTTTAAAATAATTGAAATTTAATTGGTATTTTTCAAGTTGTTTTAACCTACCCAATTGTAAAACCGATCCTAATTCATTTGAAACATGTTCTATTTAACTTTTACCACCATATGTAACATGTTTAAAAACCAACGAAATCTCATTTCAATGGTAGGATGTCCAACTACACAACATATTACTTGCTCTGATACAATTATTAGAATCAAACACTTACCACTACGTACACCAAAAGATATAGCTAATAGCGAATATATAACTTTAATTCTTTATATTTGTATAATAGTCAATAATATATTTTGATGGTAGCATATTGAATTCAGTCCTCTAAACCTCCGTCCAATACTGTTTGACATTTATATTTTATAATATTTTCAACAACCCATTTTAGCTTGCTTAAAGCTAGCAAACCACCACTTGACATCTATATTTCATCTGAATATGAATATGATGAACTTGAGAACTTATTGCATTTTTTTTTAATTTTTTGGTTTTATCCTTTAAGGATTTAGATATCATTTTATCACCATTCATATTTTTCGTGTGTCAGAATACTATTTGAACAACTGTACGTTTCAATGCATTCAGTATTATAATACTATCATTAACATTTACTTTTTCAGTTTTTTTCTCCATCCTTTTAACTTAGCTTCTTTCACATGTTTGCTTTCTAGCTAAACCTGTTTCAGACAAGCAACTCCCCATTATGCATATATATATATATATATATATATATATATATATATATATATATATATATATATATATATATATATATATATATATATATATATATATATATATATATATATATATATATACATATATATATATATATATATATATATACATATATATATATATATATATATATATATATATATATATATATATATATATATATATATATATATATATATATATATATATATATATATATATATATATATATATATATATATATAATTTTTTGAAATCTAATGTTGAAAGTTAATTACTAATTTAATTAGTTTGAAACGTGCACGGCTTTTTTATTTAGGTTAGGTGGATTATGCTCCTTTCAATAGAAAAAAGAAGAAGAAGGAAAAAAAAAAAAAAAAAAACATGTTGCGGCATATTTGTATTATATTTTATATGTCATTATATAATTTACTCACCATTTAGCATGCTTATAAAGTTATATAAAAAATAAAGTCACCAACTTTAAACACATAAAAAGTATTTTTCGAGTTTGGAGTATACTATAGATGCATAGGTATAATGGGTGGTTATTCATGCATAAAAAGTTTGTAATTTTATTGGAATATTTGTCGGTTTAAAAGGATAATATATAATTACAGGAAAAAAAAAAAATGCACACACAATGCGTAAACTAATAATGCAGTTTATTGCACCAAAAAATATTTTTATTTCATTTTAAGTATGATAATATTGACACTATTTAAATTTAAATTTATAAAAATGTCTTTTTATGTCTCTTTTCATTTATTCTCTTATATATTCAACAACTAATTTTACCAAACACCTTAATTTCAATTATTTAGCTTATTAGCTACTAATTTTTCAACTTCAACTACTAGCTTTTCAGTTAGGTGTGCCAAACAGAGCAATGATTGAAGTTCAACTTTCCATAAAAGCTATCTATTGACACAAAAAAAAAAATCTCCTAATTTATGTTTAGCTATATGTATGTGTAACACTCAATGTTCGGAGTAAGACAATTTGTCCAACATTAATAATATTTGATAGCCATATATGGCTAAATCATGTAAATATTATTTGTTTCCTTTTTTTGAATGCTACTAGCTCTATTACATTGTAGTATCTGTTCATATACTTTCTGAAACACAAAGAGCTAATAACGCCTCCACTGAGGCTTGAACTCACAATCTTCCAAATGGAAGTCCAACCCGGATACCATTGGACCACATAGTCCTGGTATATTATTTGTTTCCTAAACACTATAAATTGTGACATTTACTTATTAGATATATATCACAGTTAAATTCGATAAGAGTAAAAATGTAAAATTTGAACTCATGTGCCTTCCACTAGTAATATTAGTTAGGGAAAATAGTCAAATAAGTCCTTAAATTTTATTCGAAAGTGCAATTAAATCTTTGAACTTTAAAAGAGTGCAATTAAACACTGAAACTTGTCAAAATGAGTCAAGTCTGGTTTATCGATTGTTGACCAAGGTTCACGGCCGTTAAAAAAATTAAATTGCCAATAGCCTTCTCCGATCTTCTCCACCAAAGAAGACGACCAGCGACGACCGATCGATCGTCTTCTCTGGTGGAGAAGGCGACCTGCAGTCTAGTCGTCTTGTAGAGAAGACGTTCGGTCTGGTACGATCGTCTGGCCACCTTCTCCACTAGAGAAAACGACTAGTCTCGTTGTCTTCTCCATTGGAGAAAAGACGACTGGTCACAGTGGTCAGATTTTTATTTTATTTTTAATTCAAAGAGTTGCCCGATTTTTTTTATTGTCAGAATTGTCGCCAGAATCTTGATGATCAGTTATTTAAGGTGAATTATCGATTATTGAGTTTAGATGTACTAAAATGATAAGTTTGAGTGTTTAATTGTATCTTTTTAAAGTTCATGATCTGTACTTTCGAATAAAAGTTTAAGGACCTATTTGACCATTTTCTCGTAATATTATATTATCTCGGATAGGGTGATTGGCCCCAATATCCAATTTGGGCAACTTGAATTGTATTGATTCACACAATACGTGCAAAAGAAGTGCAAGTCGCGATCAATGGAAAATAGAGCAATGTGATGGTGCGACGACTAGGAACCGCTGGTGCTATGTACGGAGGGAGATTGGATTTAACAGCTTAGCCATTACAGACCAGACGTTTTTAGTATTGCGTAGATAACAAAGTTGTTGAAACAATAAACAAGACTTGCCTTCATTTTGTACACACATTAACATAAATAATGTAAAAGTTGCTGGATGGTGGGGTCTCTTCATTTTTGGGTGCCAACGCCACCATAGTGCCACCCAATTGCACTGCCCTGTCAGTTCATGACTACAGCCTAGCTATATATATCTTTGGATTTTTGTTTTTTGTTTTTTGTTTTTTTTTTTTTCTTCTTTAGAGTAGGAGAAATCCATAACCACTATTTAAGTGTGTACACGTTTTGATTAAAGGCTATTCGTATGTAATAATTAACATGCAAATCATATGTGAGTTCTGATGTGATAAATTTCACTGAGTATATGTATTTGAAAATGACGGCTTGAGGTATTACTGGCCGAAGGCCGGAGGTTCTTGATCTCATAACTGTTCTAGAGAGAGACTCCCGTTTCCTTCAAGTATCTAGCGGGGTATTTACACATGCCGAGAGACCGACACGTAACCCACGTGTCCCTCATGCACTCGGCGTTCTTGGAGGCCTATGGATCGGAGAAGCGTACACGTACGTGTAGAAGTATATATATCTGATTAGCCAATAGTCATCCGGCTCGACTA